GAAAATAACAGATAAAATATTAAGTTTTTTCTTAAGAAATGTTTGATAAATATCTGGACATTATAGAGATTTCGGATGTGCAATTTGAAAATTTTCTGATGCACAAAAGTATTTTTAATCTTAAAATGAAAATTACTTGCACATTGGATAGGCAACATGTGAAAAGAAAAAAAAAGGCATAAGAAAAACATTGCTCAACAAACCTTAATACTGAATAAAAAAAAATGTGATTTTTTTGCATATGAAAGCATTGTAATGTTTACTGATAGTCTGCCAAACTTCGTTAACATACACTTACTAATTTAAAAGTTATAACATGAAAACCATAACAAGCACAAAATGGTTACAAGGTCAGTCCCAGGGATCTATCTAGCCCACAGTGAAAGAGTTAAAAGGTCAGTTATATAAATCATATTTATAACTATATAACTCACCAGGATTGCATCTCTGATGTTCTTTTTGATACTTTCTATTTTTTCCTTCTTTTCCCTGAAAACAAAAACAAAACTATATACCAAATTCTGCTTCACATTTCATAGTCACTAATATTGAGTTAGAAACACACAGAAAAGAAGTTGAGAGTAAAGTTGTAAAAGAAGGACAGATAAGTTAAAGCACCATTAATAATTTCTTAAACCTTTACTAAAAGGTCAGACTGATAAGAACACCAATCACTCGTTAAATATTTACAACAACAAGAGACTGGTAAGAACACCAGTCACTCACTAAATATTTACAAGAAGAACACCAGTCACTCACTAAATACTTACAAGAAGAACAACAGTCACTCACTAAATACTTACAAGAAGAACACCAGACAAGAACAGTCTGGTTAGAACATTAATCACTAAATAAAGTTTTTAGAAAAAGGCCAGTTTGTTAGAACATCACTAGCTACTCCTTTGACTTACAAAAAGGCCAGACTGGTTAGAAAACTAGTCCTTTCATAAAGCTTTAGAAAAAGGCCAGTTTGTTAGAACATCACTAGCTACTCCTTTGACTTACAAAAAAAGGCCAGACTGGTTAGCACACTAGTCACTTCATAAAGCTTTAGAAAAAGGCCAGTTTGTCAGAACATCAGTGTTCTAACCAGTCTGGCCTTTTTGTAAGTCAGAGGAGTAGCTAGTGATGTTCTAACAAACTGGCCTTTTTTCTAAAACTTTATGAAGTGACTAGTGTTCTAACCAGTCTGGCCTTTTTGTAAGTCGAAGGAGTAGCTAGTGATGTTCTAAACAAACTGGCCTTTTTCTAAAACTCTATGAAGTGACTAGTGTTCTAACCAGTCTGGCCTTTTTGTAAGTCAAAGGAGTAGTTAGTGATGTTCTAACAAACTGGCCTTCTCTAAAACTTTATGAAATGACTAGTATTCTAACCAGTCTGGCCATTTTGTAAGTCAAAGGAGTAGCTAATAGTCACTTCATAAAGCTTTAGAAAAAGGCCAGTTTGTTAAAACATCACTAACTACTCCTTTGACTTACAAAAGGCCAGACTGGTTAGAACACTAAAGATTTACTCTATAGGTATTTTAGTAAAACCATTATAATCTAAAACATTACTTACTCTTCAGTGAAGCCACTGACATGAAGAATTCTCATCTGTTTCACCACTGTACTCTTCCCAGATTCTCCAGCACCTACAAATGAAAAATAAATTATGAAATATACCTTCAGTTATAGTTAGCATCACATATGGATGCACATTTTTCAAAACTTTGCAAAATTGATATAGAGAATTGAAATGGAATGAAAAATTAATAAGAACTTATGTATATCTTGCCCCAATAAAAATGTTCTTGAATTACACTTTGCCCCAATAAACATGTTCTTGAATCACACTTTGCCCCAATAAACATGTTCTTGAATCACACTTTGCCCCAATAAACATGTTCTTGAATCACACTTTGCCCCAATAAACATGTTCTTGAATTACACTTTGCCCCAATAAAAATGTTCTTGACTTACACTTTGCCCCAATAAACATGTTCTTGAATCACACTTTTAAATAACTTAAAGAAAGATGGCAATTTGGAATTTTCAAACTAAATTTGAATAGCAAAAAAAAAAGTGTACCTGGATTGTTGCAATATTCTCACAAGTTTAAATCAATTCCAAAATTATAAGATAAATTACCTTAAAAACATCACTGAGAAGAAATCTCACCAAAGTAACTGAAGCTTGTGCAGATCAAGATGACAGATTTATGGGGTAAAACCTGTAATATGACTAGTCACTGATATAAGCCTCAAGAAAAAGTAGCTGTGATATATGCAGATCGAGATAACAAACTTACAGAGTAAACTAAGCGATTAATTGATTCATCTCAAGAAGTTAATGTGTCCTACGACTTCCTTGTCTGTAGAACAACAAAGAATGATCCGAAAATCAATATGACCAAACCTTTTGGTACTCTTGTCTACGTTTAACCAAACCACTGTTTACTTAGAAGTTAAAAAAATAAAATTGTAAGACTTGACAAGAGTAGGATTAGTTCATTATTTTTAAAATGTTTGGGTATTTAAAAAAAGAAAGTAAAAAATTATAATAAGAAAAAATATAATTAGAATAAGATTTTATTTTAAAAAGTATACTGACTAATTTTATATATTTTGAACATTTGTAACATAAGTTATACATGAACTGTATTGTATGTTTGTACATCTGGAAAGTATTTAATGTAGATTATTTATGTTTAGTTGAAAAGCAGTAATTGTATATTTTTTGTTACAGATTCTCAGTAAAACTATTTCCTGAACAGTGACATTTGAAGTCACGAAATCGGTAGAAGAAATTAATAAAAGAAAAAAAAAAGTCTGATATTCCAGTGATTTTTTGTAGGGAAAGAATCGAATACAAATTTACAATGTGTGCATATCTTGATATCAAAATTATTATTTTTCACAATCAGCAACCTATTTCTAATAGAAAATTTTCTCTGAACATGTACAACAGTTCGATGAATATAAAACTAAATAGTTATAATTAATTTATTATGGTTCTTTTGGTAAAAAATAAATACATACACCTCTCTCACTATCAACTAATATAAAGCTGCTATTAAGTTATTACAAGTTACAGCTTTTACAGCAAGAAAGATATGTTTTTCCAACAGGTATGATGTTTCGATCACTGGTATGATCATTTTCAACTACAGGAGAATGGTCATACCAGTGATCGAAACGTCATATCTTCCTTACTGTAAAAGCTGTGTAATAACATAATCAGTAACTAAACTCAAAGAGAGACTATTAATAAAACTGAGAACAAGTGCTGTATTTAAAACCTTGTTAAAAATTAATTATATTCTGGATTACACAATCTTTAGAATTTTATAAACTTTCAAAAAAAAGATTAAAATAATAACCAATCTTGAAAAATTTATTGCCTATATTGTGATTTTCAAAGCTAAAACATACATACAATTCAATCTATTACATAATAACATATCCATCATTAACAATACACCTTAAGTTATATTGAAAAATAGTTTCAACGATAAAGTCATAAATGTCACGGTGTACTGTTACTAATATAAAGTCATAAATGTCACGGTGTACTGTTACTAATATAAAGTCATAAATTTCACGGTGTACTGTTACTAATGTAAAGCAATAAATGTCACGGTGTACTGTTACTAATGTAAAGCAATAAATGTCACGGTGTACTGTTACTAATATAAAGTAATAAATGTCATGGTGTACTGTTACTAATATAAAGTCATAAATGTCACGGTGTATTGTTACTAATATAAAGTCATAAATGTCATGGTGTATTTGTTACTAATATAAAGTCATAAATGTCATGGT